AAGATCCTCTCGGAAAGGCATATATGCGTTTGCGCGTCATAAACAAACGGGTGCGATCATACCAGCACTAATGCACCGGATCCCATCAGAACTCCGCAGTAAGCGTGCTTGGGCGAGAGTAGTACTAGGATGGGTGACCTCCCGGGAAGTCCTCGTGTTGCACCCCTTTTTTTGTTAATTTTTTTCTGTATTTCTATCTGAAACTTCCAAAATGCGTAGCTGGAAGACCGTGAGGCCGTATGCTGCCACCAACCACTTTTCGTGAAGCTCCAAAAGAGCTCTAGGCGTAAAATATCGTTTGGACCCCAAAAAATGGCGTTTGGACGCTTTTCCGGGCCGTTTTCTGGTGCGGACACAAAATCAATGAATCGAAAGTGCTATGCATAGTGTTTTTTGGATGCATCCATCCTCCCTCTCACATAAGGGTCACTTAGGACTCCGGATCGGGCCTAAGCATCAAGTGGGGCCTACGCCGCCGAATAAACGTTCAAGATCCTCTCGGAAAGGCATATATGCGTTTGCGCGTCATAAACAAACGGGTGCGATCATACCAGCACTAATGCACCGGATCCCATCAGAACTCCGCAGTAAGCGTGCTTGGGCGAGAGTAGTACTAGGATGGGTGACCTCCCGGGAAGTCCTCGTGTTGCACCCCTTTTTTTGTTAATTTTTTTCTGTATTTCTATCTGAAACTTCCAAAATGCGTAGCTGGAAGACCGTGAGGCCGTATGCTGCCACCAACCACTTTTCGTGAAGCTCCAAAAGAGCTCTAGGCGTAAAATATCGTTTGGACCCCAAAAAATGGCGTTTGGACGCTTTTCCGGGCCGTTTTCTGGTGCGGACACAAATCAATGAATCGAAAGTGCTATGCATAGTGTTTTTTGGATGCATCCATCCTCCCTCTCACATAAGGGTCACTTAGGACTCCGGATCGGGCCTAAGCATCAAGTGGGGCCTACGCCGCCGAATAAACGTTCAAGATCCTCTCGGAAAGGCATATATGCGTTTGCGCGTCATAAACAAATGGGTGCGATCATACCAGCACTAATGCACCGGATCCCATCAGAACTCCGCAGTAAGCGTGCTTGGGCGAGAGTAGTACTAGGATGGGTGACCTCCCGGGAAGTCCTCGTGTTGCACCCCTTTTTTTGTTAATTTTTTTCTGTATTTCTATCTGAAACTTCCAAAATGCGTAGCTGGAAGACCGTGAGGCCGTATGCTGCCACCAACCACTTTTCGTGAAGCTCCAAAAGAGCTCTAGGCGTAAAATATCGTTTGGACCCCAAAAAATGGCGTTTGGACGCTTTTCCGGGCCGTTTTCTGGTGCGGACACAAATCAATGAATCGAAAGTGCTATGCATAGTGTTTTTTGGATGCATCCATCCTCCCTCTCACATAAGGGTCACTTAGGACTCCGGATCGGGCCTAAGCATCAAGTGGGGCCTACGCCGCCGAATAAACGTTCAAGATCCTCTCGGAAAGGCATATATGCGTTTGCGCGTCATAAACAAACGGGTGCGATCATACCAGCACTAATGCACCGGATCCCATCAGAACTCCGCAGTTAAGCGTGCTTGGGCGAGAGTAGTACTAGGATGGGTGACCTCCCGGGAAGTCCTCGTGTTGCACCCCTTTTTTTGTTAATTTTTTTCTGTATTTCTATCTGAAACTTCCAAAATGCGTAGCTGGAAGACCGTGAGGCCGTATGCTGCCACCAACCACTTTTCGTGAAGCTCCAAAAGAGCTCTAGGCGTAAAATATCGTTTGGACCCCAAAAAATGGCGTTTGGACGCTTTTCCGGGCCGTTTTCTGGTGCGGACACAAAATCAATGAATCGAAAGTGCTATGCATAGTGTTTTTTGGATGCATCCATCCTCCCTCTCACATAAGGGTCACTTAGGACTCCGGATCGGGCCTAAGCATCAAGTGGGGCCTACGCCGCCGAATAAACGTTCAAGATCCTCTCGGAAAGGCATATATGCGTTTGCGCGTCATAAACAAACTGGGTGCGATCATACCAGCACTAATGCACCGGATCCCATCAGAACTCCGCAGTTAAGCGTGCTTGGGCGAGAGTAGTACTAGGATGGGTGACCTCCCGGGAAGTCCTCGTGTTGCACCCCTTTTTTTGTTAATTTTTTTCTGTATTTCTATCTGAAACTTCCAAAATGCGTAGCTGGAAGACCGTGAGGCCGTATGCTGCCACCAACCACTTTTCGTGAAGCTCCAAAAGAGCTCTAGGCGTAAAATATCGTTTGGACCCCAAAAAATGGCGTTTGGACGCTTTTCCGGGCCGTTTTCTGGTGCGGACACAAAATCAATGAATCGAAAGTGCTATGCATAGTGTTTTTTGGATGCATCCATCCTCCCTCTCACATAAGGGTCACTTAGGACTCCGGATCGGGCCTAAGCATCAAGTGGGGCCTACGCCGCCGAATAAACGTTCAAGATCCTCTCGGAAAGGCATATATGCGTTTGCGCGTCATAAACAAATGGGTGCGATCATACCAGCACTAATGCACCGGATCCCATCAGAACTCCGCAGTTAAGCGTGCTTGGGCGAGAGTAGTACTAGGATGGGTGACCTCCCGAGAAGTCCTCGTGTTGCACCCCTTTTTTTGTTAATTTTTTTCTGTATTTCTATCTGAAACTTCCAAAATGCGTAGCTGGAAGACCGTGAGGCCGTATGCTGCCACCCACAACTTTTCGTGAAGCTCCAAAAGAGCTCTAGGCGTAAAATGTCGTTTGGACCCCAAAAAATGGCGTTTGGACGTTTTTCCGGGCCGTTTTCTGGTGCGGACACAATATCAATGAATCGAAAGTGTTATGCATAGTGTTTTTTGGATGCATCCATCCTCCCTCTCACATAAGGGTCACTTAGGACTCCGGATCGGTGCCTAAGCATCAAGTGGGGCCTACGCCGCCGAATAAACGTTCAAGATCCTCTCGGAAAGGCATATATGCGTTTGCGCGTCATCAACAAACTGGTGCGATCATACCAGCACTAATGCACCGGATCCCATCATAACTCCGCAGTGAAGCGTGCTTTCTTTTTCTTTTTTTTCTGCTCATTCATCTTTGTTTTTTTTTTTTGTTTTTTTTTTTTCTGTTATTTTTGCGTGCTTAGGCGAGAGTAGTACTAGGATGGGTGACCTCCCGGGAAGTCCTCGTGTTGCACCCCTTTTTTTGTTAATTTTTTTCTGTATTTCTATCTGAAACTTCTAAAATGCGTAGCTGTAAGACCGTGAGGCCGTATGCTGCCACCAACCACTTTTCGTGAAGCTCCAAAAGAGCTCTAGGCGTAAAATGTCGTTTGGACCCAAAAAATGGCGTTTGGACGCTTTTCCGGGCCGTTTTCTGGTGCGGACACAATATCAATGAATCGAAAGTGCCATGCATAGTGTTTTTTGGATGCATCCATCCTCCCTCTCACATAAGGGTCACTTAGGACTCCGGATCGGGCCTAAGCATCAAGTGGGGCCTACGCCGCCGAATAAACGTTCAAGATCCTCTCGGAAAGGCATATATGCGTTTGCGCGTCATAAACAAACTGGTACGATCATACCAGCACTAATGCACCGGATCCCATCAGAACTCCGCAGTTAAGCGTGCTTGGGCGAGAGTAGTACTAGGATGGGTGACCTCCCGGGAAGTCCTCGTGTTGCACCCCTTTTTGTTATTTTTTTCTGTATTTCTATCTGAAACTTCCAAAATGCGTAGCTGGAAGACCGTGAGGCCGTATGCTGCCACCAACCACTTTTCGTGAAGCTCCAAAAGAGCTCTAGGCGTAAAATAACGTTTGGACCCCAAAAAATGGCGTTTGGACGCTTTTCCGGGCCGTTTTCTGGTGCGGACATAAAATCAATGAATCGAAAGTGCTATGCATAGTGTTTTTTGGATGCATCCATCCTCCCTCTCACATAAGGGTCACTTAGGACTCCGGATCGGGCCTAAGCATCAAGTTGGGCCTACGCCGCCGAATAAACGTTCAAGATCCTCTCGGAAAGGCATATATGCGTTTGCGCGTCATCAACAAATGGGTGCGATCATACCAGCACTAATGCCGGATCCCATCAGAACTCCGCAGTTAAGCGTGCTTGGGCGAGAGTAGTACTAGGATGGGTGACCTCCCGGGAAGTCCTCGGGTTGCACCCCTTTTTTGTTAATTTTTTTCTGTATTTCTATCTGAAACTTCCAAAATGCGTAGCTGGAAGACCGTGAGGCCGTATGCTGCCACCATCCACTTTTCGTGAAGCTCCAAAAGAGCTCTAGGCGTAAAATATCGTTTGGACCCCAAAAAATGGCGTTTGGACGCTTTTCCGGGCCGTTTTTTGGTGCGGACACAAAATCAATGAATCGAAAGTGCTATGCATAGTGTTTTTTGGATGCATCCATCCTCCCTCTCACATAAGGGTCACTTAGGACTCCGGCTCGGGCCTAAGCATCAAGTGGGGCCTACGCCGCCGAATAAACGTTCAAGATCCTCTCGGAAAGGCATATATGCGTTGCGCGTCATAAACAAACGGGTGCGATCATACCAGCACTAATGCACCGGATCCCATCAGAACTCCGCAGTAAGCGTGCTTGGGCGAGAGTAGTACTAGGATGGGTGACCTATTGGGAAGACCTCGTGTTGCACCCCTTTGTTTGTTAATATTTTTCTGTATTTCTATGTGAAACTTCCAAAATGCGTAGCTGGAAGACCGTGAGGCCGTATGCTGCCACCAACCACTTTTCGTGAAGCTCCAAAGAGCTCTAGGCGTAAAATATCGTTTGGACCCCAAAAAATGGCGTTTGGACGCTTTTCTGGGCCGTTTTCTGGTGCGGACACAATATCAATGAATCGAAAGTGCTATGCATAGTGTTTTTGGATGCATCCATCCTCCCTCTCACATAAGGGTCACTTAGGACTCCGGATCGGGCCTAAGCATCAAGTGGGGCCTAACGCCGCCGAATAAAACGTATCAACTCGTATCCTCCCCCGGAATAGTGCATCCACTATGTGGTCCAGCGTGTTTCTATATTACAACACGCGTTGCAGTCACCATGCGACTCAGGAGGCAACCACACGCGGAATGCCCAGAGACTACCGCACGGCAAGCGTTGCTTGTGCGAGAGTAGTACTAGGATGGGTGACCTCCCGGGAAGTCCTCGTGTTGCACCCCTTTTTTTGTTAATTTTTTTCTGTATTTCTATCTGAAACTTCCAAAATGCGTAGCTGGAAGACCGTGATGCCGTATGCTGCCACCAACCACTTTTCGTGAAGCTCCAAAAGAGCTCTAGGCGTAAAATATCGTTTGGACCCCAAAAAATGGCGTTTGGACGTTTTTCCGGGCCGTTTTCTGGTGCGGACACAATATCAATGAATCGAAAGGGCTATGCATAGTGTTTTTTGGATGCATCCATCCTCCCTCTCACATAAGGGTCACTTAGGACTCCGGATCGGGCCTAAGCATCAAGTGGGGCCTACGCCGCCGAATAAACGTTCAAGATCCTCTCGGAAAGGCATACATGCGTTTGCGCGTCATAAACAAACTGGTGCGATCATACCAGCACTAATGCACCGGATCCCATCAGAACTCCGCAGTTAAGCGTGCTTGGGCGAGAAGTACTAGGATGGGTGACCTCCCGGGAAGTCCTCGTGTTGCACCCCTTTTTTTGTTAATTTTTTCTGTATTTCTATCTGAAACTTCTAAAATGCGTAGCTGGAAGACCGTGAGGCCGTATGCTGCCACCAAACACTTTTCGTGAAGCTCCAAAAGAGCTCTAGGCGTAAAATATCGTTTGGACCCCAAAAAATGGCGTTTGGACGCTTTTCCGGGCCGTTTTCTGGTGCGGACACAAAATCAATGAATCGAAAGTGCTATGGATAGTGTTTACTTTATGGCATAGGCCAGTTCATCCTCCTCTCTCACTACTCAAGGTGGTCGAACTTTAGTGACTCGCGGTTTATCGGAGCTAAGCATCTACATGTCGGGCAACTACGCAGCCGGTAATTTACTAAAACTGGACTTCAAGAATTACTCTCAAACAGGCTATATGACTGCCGTATATCGCGCGTTCATCAGGAACCAAACGGTCCGACGTCTCATGGACCAGACTATTTATGCGATCTGGTCCGGATCCACATACACGAACGGCACCGTTCTAAGTGCTCACGACGTGCGGATTGCCCTTGGCGAAGTGAGAGTAACTAGGAATGGGTGACCCATCGGCGGCGGAAGTCCTCGTGTGCACAGCCCTTCTTCTTTTGCTACTATTTACCTTGTCAGTGTACTAATCTGAAACTTCTAAAATGCGTCGCTGGAAGACCGTGAGGCCGTATGCTGTCACCAACAACTTTTCGTGAAGCTCCAAAAGAGCTCTAGGCGTAAAATGTCGTTTGGACCCCAACAAATGGCGTTTGGACGTTTTTCGGGCCGTTTTCTGGTGCGGACACAATATCAATGAATCGAAAGTGCTATGCATAGTGTTTTTTGGATGCATCCATCCTCTCTCTCACATAAGGGTCACTTAGGACTCCGGATCGGGCCTAAGCATCAAGTGGGGCCTACGCCGCCGAATAAACGTTCAAGATCCTCTCGGAAAGGCATATATGCGTTTGCGCGTCATCAACAAATGGGTTCGATCATAACAGCACTAATGCACCGGATCCCATCAGAACTCCGCAGTTAAGCGTGCTTGGGCGAGAGTAGTACTAGGATGGGTGCCCTCCCGGGAAGTCCTCGTGTTGCACCCCTTTTTTTGTTAATTTTTTTCTGTATTTCTATCTTACACTTCTAAAATGCGTAGCTGGAAGACCGTGAGGCCGTATGCTGCCACCAACCACTTTTCGTGAAGCTCCAAAAGAGCTCTAGGCGTAAAATATCGTTTAGACCCCAAAAAATGGCGTTTGGACGCTTTCCGGGCCGTTTTCTGGTGCGGACACAAAATCAATGAATCGAAAGTGCTATGCATAGTGTTTTTTGGATGCATCCATCCTCCCTCTCACATAAGGGTCACTTAGGACTCCGGATCGGGCCTAAGCATCAAGTGGGGCCTACGCCGCCGAATAAACGTTCAAGATCCTCTCGGAAAGGCATATATGCGTATGCGCGTCATCAACAAACGGGTGCGATCATACCAGCACTAATGCACCGGATCCCATCAGAACTCCGCAGTTAAGCGTGCTTGGGCGAGAGTAGTACTAGGATGGGTGACCTCCCGGGAAGTCCTCGTGTTTCACCCCTTTGTTTGTTAATTTTTTTCTGTATTTCTATCTGAAACTTCTAAAATGCGTAGCTGGAAGACCGTGAGGCCGTATGCTGCCACCAACACACTTTTCGTGAAGCTCCAAAAGAGCTCTAGGCGTAAAATATCGTTTGGACCCCAAAAAATGGCATTTGGACGCTTTTCCGGGCCGTTTTCTGGTGCGGACACAATATCAATGAATCGAAAGTTCTATGCATAGTGTTTTTTGGATGCATCCATCCCCCTCTCACATAAGGGTCACTTAGGACTCCGGATCGGGCCTAAGCATCAAGTGGGGCCTACGCCGCCGAATAAACGTTCAAGATCCTCTCGAAAAGGCATATATGCGTATGCGCGTCATAAACAAACGGGTGCGATCATACCAGCACTAATGCACCGGATCCCATCAGAACTCCGCAGTCAAGCGCGCTTGGGCGAGAGTAGTACTAGGATGGGTGACCTCCCGGGAAGTCCTCGTGTTACTCCCCTTTTTTGTTAATTTTTTTCTGTATTTCTATCTGAAATTTCCAAAATGCGTAGCTGGAAGACCGTGAGGCCGTATGCTGCCACCAACCACTTTTCGTGAAGCTCCAAAAGAGCTCTAGGCGTAAAATGTCGTTTGGACCCCAAAAAACGTTTGGACGCTTTTCCGGGCCGTTTTCTGGTGCGGACACAAAATCAATGAATCGAAAGTGCTATGCATAGTGTTTTTTGGATGCATCCATCCTCCCTCTCACATAAGGGTTACTTAGGACTCCGGATCGGGCCTAAGCATCAAGTGGGGCCTACGCCGCCGAATAAACGTTCAAGATCCTCTCGGAAAGGCATATATGCGTATGCGCGTCATAAACAAAACGGGTGCGATCATACCAGCACTAATGCACCGGATCCCATCAGAACTCCGCAGGTAAGCGTGCCTGGGCGAGAGTAGTACTAGGATGGGTGACCTCCCGGGAAGTCCTCGTGTTGCACCCCTTTTTTTGTTAATTTTTTTCTGTATTTCTATCTGAAACTTCTAAAATGCGTAGCTGGAAGACCGTGAGGCCGTATGCTGCCACCAACAACTTTTCGTGAAGCTCCAAAAGAGCTCTAGGCGTAAAATCGTTTGGACCCCCAAAAAATGGCGTTTGGACGCTTTTCCGGGCCGTTTTCTGGTGCGGACACAAAATAATGAATCGAAAGTGCTATGCATAGTGTTTTTTTGGATGCATCCATCCTCCCTCTCACATAAGGGTCACTTAGGACTCCGGATCGGGCCTAAGCATCAAGTGGGGCTACGCCGCCGAATAAACGTTCAAGATCCTCTCGGAAAGGCATATATGCGTTTGCGCGTCATAAACAAACTGGTGCGATCATACCAGCACTAATGCACCGGATCCCATCAGAACTCCGCAGTTGAAGCGTGCTTGGGCGAGAGGAGTACTAGGATGGGTGACCTCCCGGGAAGTCCTCGTGTTGCACCCCTTTTTTTGTTAATTTTTTTCTGTATTTCCATCTGAAACTTCTAAAATGCGTAGCTGGAAGACCGTGAGGCCGTATGCTGCCACCAACCACTTTTCGTGAAGTTCCAAAAGAGCTCTAGGCGTAAATATCGTTTGGACCCCAAAAAATGGCGTTTGGACGCTTTTCCGGGCCGTTTTCTGGTGCGGACACAATATCAATGAATCGAAAGTGCTATGCATAGTGTTTTTTGGATGCATCCATCCCCCTCTCACATAAGGGTCACTTAGGACTCCGGATCGGGCCTAAGCATCAAGTGGGGCCTACGCCGCCGAATAACGTTCAAGATCCTCTCGGAAAGGCATATATGCGTTTGCGCGTCATCAACAAATGGGTGCGATCATACCAGCACTAATGCAG